AAAACAAACTGTTATACTCAAAACTAAACACAAGTCTGCGAAGAATAAACGTCGGTTTAAACAATAAACGGTGACTCGTCAAATATAAACTATAATCCAAAAAATACACACAAAAAGAGAACAACTAAACGATTTTTGAAAATTAAACGAAAAAATGAAAAAAATACACGGTAAGGGTCCACCAGTGATGGTTACACAGCTTGAAAACATTTATCTAAGCTGGACAACATTTATCATAGACTGGAGTTAATCTGAACATCTACTTTCAGAATCTGTAATGGACTGGAGCTATGGGACTAATCCTGATTTCACACTCTCTTGGACAATATTTACAACTGTAGCAGTGCTGTTACAGAGGGAATATCAATTTAGTAACTGAAAGAGTAAGAATCTCTGTACAATGTATAATATTCTCTTGTTTTTTTTTATTTTCACAAAGGTACATATGTACTTGCATTGAGATATAACATATACATATCTAAATATTCACTTTTCTGGACATGAGCCTAGATTGTCTCGTTATTGTGCTGGGCACACCTCTGACAGTCCTGTTCTCTGAGTGGGAATCGAACACAGCTGACTTTCTGCAACCATGTGCACTGGACCAATCAACAGACTTTCACAGACTTACCTCTTCCTGGGATCCGTCCCAGTGAGCCCTGCTGATGGTGTCAGTTCCGGTGTCTGTCCAGTATATCATATCTAGGGAAGCATCAAAGTCCACCCCTACTGCACTGACCACGTTCACCAGTGGGATGACCACGTCAGTCTTGTCTGGTGTGTCCATGCTGATGCGCCGGAGGTCTGACCTCGTTGAGAACACTAGGAAATTCTCCATGGCTGAAAAGTAAACAAGACTACATGTAACATAGGAAGAAACTTACTTGTCATTCAGGTGGAAATTCACATAATACGCAGGTAGAAATTCACATAATACACAGGAAGAAACTCACATAATACACAGGTAGAAACTCACATAATACACAGGAAGAAACTCACATAATTCGCAGGTAGAAACTCACATAATACACAGGTAGACACTCACATAATACACAGGTAGAAATTCACATAATACACAGGTATAAACTCACATATTACACAGGTAGAAACTCACATAATTTGAAGGTAGAAATTCACATAATTCACAGGTAGAAACTCACATAATACACAGGTAGAAATTCACATAATACACAGGTAGAAACTCACATATTACACAGGTAGAAACTCACATAATTCGCTGGTAGAAATTCACATAATACACAGGTAGAAACTCACATATTACACAGGTAGAAACTCACATAATTTGCAGGTAGAAATTCACATAATTCACAGGTAGAAACTCACATAATACACAGGTAGAAACTCACATAATACACAGGTAGAAATTCACATAATACACAGGTAGAAACTCACATATTACACAGGTAGAAACTCATATAATTCGCTGGTAGAAATTCACATAATACACAGGTAGAAACTCAAATAATTCACAGGTAGAAACTCACATAATACACAGGCAGAAATTCACATAATACACAGGTAGAAATTCACATAATACACAGGTAGAAACTCACATAATACACAGGTAGAAATTCACATAATACACAGGTAGAAACTCACATAATACACAGGTAGAAACTCACATAATTCGCAGGAAGAAGCTCTAATTAGAGACAGAAGAAATACATTTAGAAACCTCTTAAAACTAAACTCAATAGGAACATATAGGTCAGATTAAGATTGCATTGTCAATATTTCCTTGGAATTTCAACAGTGGAAGTTTGATATTTACAGATTTGGACAGGTGTGATATACCTGCACTGTATACAGGTGTGCCTGTCCTTGAACAGGTGTGATATACCTATACTGTATACAGGTGTGTCCATCCTTGGATAGGTGTGCTATACCTACACTGTATACAGGTGTGCCTGTCCTTGAACAGGTGTGATATACCTATACTTTATACAGGTGTGCCTGTCCTTGGATAGGTGTGCTTTACCTACACTGTATACAGGTGTGTCTGTCCTTGGGCAGGCGTGCTATACCTACACTGTATACAGGTGTGTCTGTCCTTGGATAGGTGTGCTATACCTACACTGTATACAGGTATGTCTGTCCTTGGACAGGTGTGATATACCTACACTGTATACAAGGACAGGGGTGATATACCTACACTGTATACAGGTGTGACTGTCCTTGGACAGGTGTGATATACCTACACTGTATACAGGGGTGTCTGTCCTTGGACAGGTGTGATATACCTACACTGTATACAAGGACAGGTGTGCTATCCCTACACTGTATACAGGTGTGTCTGTCCTTGGATAGGTGTGCTATACCTACACTGTATACAGGTGTGTCTGTCCTTGGACAGGTATGCTATAACTACACTGTATACAAGGACAGGTGTGCTATACCTACACTGTATACAGGTGTGTCTGTCCTTGGACAGGCGTGCTATACCTACACTGTATACAGGTGTGTCTGTCCTTGGACAGGTGTTGACCGGTAGGACAGGAACAGGAGTAATCCTGGCGGTTGGGCAGACACAGATGACTACATCCACCATTGTTTCTTCCACAGTGGTTCTCAACTGCAAAACACAACATTAATATCCATATAAAAAATTATTTCTATGAAACGTTAAAATTGACAGTCAGTTCTAGGTTCTGATTCCCAGATAAACCTCATATTCATTTTGTTTTCTCCAGTCTTTATTTTATCATTTTTTCAGTTAAAATCATTTTAACCCAGGACCGCTGTCTGAATACTCTTTTCCCTGGAAAACTAATATGATAAGAAATGACAAAAGGAAATCGTACCGTATAGTCTGTACCCACATTATGTTATACTTACACATAGGTTGTCTCTGTGGATGGAAGGTGTGGATGTCCATCGGGAAGTGGAGACGATTGCGGATTGTTTCCACATCGTTGCCAGTGAACTTGTTTGCCTTATTGATACTCTTGGTATGCCAGTCAGTCCAGTACAGCTCATCCTCAAACAATGTCAGGGCAAAGGGATGGGGCAGACCTGTTAATAAACATACACAGTTCATCATCAAACAACGTCAGGGCAAAGGGATGGGGCAGACCTGTTAATAAACATACACAGTTTATCCTCAAACAACGTCAGGGCAAAGGGGTGGGGCAGACCTGTAAATAAACACACAGTTTATCTTCAAACAACGTCAGGGCAAAGGGTTGGGGCAGACCTGTTAATAAACATACACAGCTCATCCTCAAACAATGTCAGGGCAAAGGGATGGGGCAGACCTGTTAATAAACATACACAGTTCATCCTCAAACAATGTCAGGGCAAAGGGATGGGGCAGACCTGTTAATAAACATACACCGCTCATCATCAAACAACGTCAGGGCAAAGGGATGGGGCAGACCTGTTAATAAACATACACCGCTCATCATCAAACAACGTCAGGGCAAAGGGATGGGGCAGACCTGTTAATAAACATACACCGCTCATCATCAAACAACGTCAGGGCAAAGGGATGGGGCAGACCTGTTAATAAACATACACCGCTCATCATCAAACAACGTCAGGGCAAAGGGATGGGGCAGACCTGTTAATAAACATACACCGCTCATCATCAAACAACGTCAGGGCAAAGGGATGGGGCAGACCTGTTAATAAACATACACCGCTCATCATCAAACAACGTCAGGGCAAAGGGATGGGGCAGACCTGTTAATAAACATACACCGCTCATCATCAAACAACGTCAGGGCAAAGGGATGGGGCAGACCTGTTAATAAACATACACCGCTCATCATCAAACAACGTCAGGGCAAAGGGATGGGGCAGACCTGTTAATAAACATACACCGCTCATCATCAAACAACGTCAGGGCAAAGGGATGGGGCAGACCTGTTAATAAACATACACCGCTCATCATCAAACAACGTCAGGGCAAAGGGATGGGGCAGACCTGTTAATAAACATACACAGCTCATCCTCAAACAACGTCAGGGCAAAGGGGTGGGGCAGACCTGTTAATAAACATACACAGCTCATCATCAAACAACGTCAGGGCAAAGGGGTGGGGCAGACCTGTTAATAAACATACACAGCTCATCCTCAAACAACGTCAGGCCAAAGGGATGGGGCAGACCTGTTAATAAACATACACAGCTTATCCTCAAACAATGTCAGGCCAAAGGGATGGGGCAGACCTGTTAATAAACATACACAGCTCATCCTCAAACAACGTCAGGGCAAAGGGGTGGGGCAGACCTGTAAATAAACACACAGTTCATCTTCAAACAACGTCAGGGCAAAGGGATGGGGCAGACCTGTTAATAAACATCATACACCGCTCATCATCAAACAACGTCAGGGCAAAGGGGTGGGGCAGACCTCTAAATAAACACACAGTTCATCTTCAAACAACGTCAGGGCAAAGGGATGGGGCAGACCTGTAAATAAACACACAGTTCATCTTCAAACAACGTCAGGGCAAAGGGATGGGGCAGACCTGTAAATAAACATACACGGTTCATCTTCAAACCATGTCAGGGCAAAGGGATGGGGCAGACCTGTCAATTTTATATTGGGCTTTGCAAATTCAGCATAAAGAATAAAAATTATGAATTATGAAGCTAATGATTTGTTTATTCCTTCATTTACCTCTTTATCATTAATATTCTTTGTTGATAATGTTTTACCTCTGCTTATAACAGTGCGTCTGTTCTTGCCGAAGAGGTCTGAGCATTCTATGACATGGTGTTTGGCATCCGCCCAGTAGAGCTTGTCTGTGGCATAGTCGAGCGTTAGACCATTGGGCCAAAACAGTGATGTATTCGCTAATACCATTCGCTCAGACCCATCCATGTTTCCACGCTCTATCTTAGGAACACTTCCCCAGTCTGTCCAAAATATTGACCTACAGTCACAAAATCAATCACAAAATATTGATTTTGTTTTGAAGATTTACAGGAGATTTCAAAGCAAAATGTTAAGATATTCTGTTTATCGAAAATGATGTACATTGCTGACTTAGCGTTGAAGATATTAATAAAAAAGGATTTTCAACATGGCAAAAAAACAACTAGTATCTAGTTATAATATATATAATATATGCAATTCTATTTACTACAAACTGTTTATAAAACACACATATGCACCTGCACCTACTCTGACGGAATTAAATCTGGACGACAATGGCCCATGGAGTAAAAATTACCCTTAACTGTGATGTCTCATGAGATCAAACTTACCCCTGACCAGGATGGACTACAATGGCTCGTGGTTTTTCCATTTGGTTCCAGATAAGGACCTTCCGGTATTTGCCCTCCAAATCAGTGACCTCAATAGTGGATGTTCCTGAGTCTGCCCAGAACAGGAGATTATGTTCCCAGTCCACTGCGATCCCTCCTTTAACACAAATACAGGTCAGTAAGAGTTTCAGTCATTCGAGGTCTATGGTACACAAAATTCCCCCCTTTTTTATATAAATGCATTTAGATGCAATAGTCATGTCATATTGCCATTAACAAATAACGAAAAATGTTCTTTATAATTATTTTCAGCACTATGATGAAGAAGACTACAGGAAAACTCACCCGGACTCTCCAACCCGTATTTGACCACATCACGGATCTGACTGCCGTTGATGTAAGCTCGTTTGATCTTATCCAGGGCAATATCAGACCAGAAGACAAGGCCTTTCTCATGATGGAAGTCTAGAGCAATGGCATTAGGCAGGCCTTCTAAGATGGAGTCAAATTCCGACTGGTCTGGCAACAGCTTGCGTATGTCTACACGGTTAGCAAATATCAGGTATGCTTTTCCACCTGTAACGGTAAAAAATAATACAGGTAACGGTGGTAGGTTGCCTCCCTGCATTTCATCTGCTGGATAACCGAACTACTCGGTAGTGAAGCGGATGTAAAACCACTCAAACAAACAAACATTCCTTGGGCCAACCATCACGTAAAATGTATACTGGGAAATTCTCTCCGTGCTTTAATTTGTCACCTTTTTATCCTTTGTAATGAGGGCAATTTATCATAACAGTGATCATTTGTAAACAACATAATATACAAAGTGATTAAATGTGAAGGGCAAATTTAATACTGGGTGAACAGGGATTTTACTGTCAAAGGGTGAACATTTTACTAGGCGAACATTTCCCCATATATAGAGAATATAAAAATATGTGTAACTAGTAATTTGATTTTGGTTAGAATTTCAGAAACGATCATCAGTTGAACAACGGTTTGAAGTAGTGATGCAATTTTTTCAATTATATGAGGAATGATAACCAACTTAACTCATTCACCCCTGAAATTTCATCATGGACTATTCCAACCTTTGAATTGGAAGAGTTTAAATGTGACTTCAGGGGTGAATGAGTTAATGTCCTTGATCTTTGCAACTGCATGTATAGACTATAACCACTGCTATGTTATGCTGTGTTGTAGACAATTTTGTATCCTGATAATATCTTACTGCTCAGCTCATATTTCAACCTGTACTCTCTAGTATAAGTAGACTTGAAGGTGCCAGTAAGATGTAATAACAAAAATATTGTGTGTGCTCATTTATTAGAATCTGAATGTTTTACTAACTATTCAGTGCATGCTTCTATAAGACCATGTATGCTTTTCTTGTCTTCTGCTTATGTATGGTTTATTGTTTCTATCAAAATGAAATCATTTATCAGAATCCCCATGTCTAATGATCAATTACAAGTCATTGATTGATATTATCATTGTCTCCCCACTATCTGTAGGTGTATACCATCTCACCTCTAGCCTTACAGCCACGTTTGTCTGGTTTGAGTTTGTACCCCTCCACACACTGACAGGTGTAGGAGCCCGGCTGGTTCTGACAGATCTGGCTACAGGTACCCTCCCAGCTACATTCGTTTAAGTCCTCACAGGTGTGGCGGTCCTCCTTCAGCTGGAAACCTAGCTTACAGGAACAGTGTGGTCCTTTAGTGGTACTTATGCAGAACTGCTCGCAATCACCGTTGTTCACATGACAGTCTCCAGGGAATTCTGGGTAAAATATGGAAATCGGGTAAATACCTTTTTACATGTAGGTAGATATACACTGCATAAATGTTATTTTCTTTTAGTTCAAATTTGCTAATTTTCTTGCTTTTCTCCGACTAATAATATTATATTTGTATCTGCTTAGAACAGACGTATTATTTGCACACCCTCACAGGGAGTGCGAAAATATTGATGCATTCCAAAGATATCCCTTGATATTTGGTGCTTTTCAAGGGTGATATGAACATATAGATGAATGGAAAAGTTTGAAATTGAAAGTGAAAATTCTTTTCAAGAGAATACACTCCAAAAACATGTAAACTACCTTTCCTGAATAATAATTTGGAGTCAATCTATCAAAATCTGAAGACTTTTTTTTATAAAAGATCAAAGAAAATGTAAATTGACAGATATTAAACACTTGTGTGATCATTTTGGAATTCCAGGACATGCAAGTTTTGTTTTTAAATTCAATATTTTTTTAAAATATTGATGATTTTAATTTTATCCAAACATGTCATTCAACTAATGAATGTTGATAAACCTTAACTCTAGACAAGAGTTGTAGTGCTCCACACGACCGTGATGAAGGTCACTAACTCACCACAGTCCTCCTCATCCGAGTTATCACCACAGTCATTGATAAAGTTACACACTTTCTTGCTTCCAATACAATTCTTATTTTTACATAAAAATTGTGCCATCCCACAATCACCCGCTGCAAAAAGAAAACACAAAGTTTTAAAATTCTTTAGTGTCTTTTACTGCAGTAAATGAAAATCTATGTTGTCGAAAGGTTTTGGACTAAATCCTTTACAACCCATCATTTAAACATGTGTTGCCTGTTGCCAGTCAAACATTCAAGATACTGTTCCTCAAAATTCCCATTATTTCAGCTGTACTGTACTGAACTAATGTGCTGATTTATTTATAACATATTCATGTACCTAGTGTTCAACGAAACAGAAAACAACACTATTGACGTCTAACCAAGACCCACTGTCAGTATAATACAGGCTGAGACCATCAATGAGTTGATCTAAAATATAGCTAATTATACACAGCGCAAAAAAAAATCACCCTGTCACGACTGAAAATAGTGTTGCTTACATTGATGAAATACACTCAAAGCTCCATGTAATGTTTCACCCTTCAATTTAAACTAATATATAAGTTGCTGAGAAAAACATTTTACTATATGCCGATTGGCTGAAAAGAAAACACTGTAAAAGATACCATGGAATAATGATACCTGATGGTATGATATGTATTGTACAATAAGATATCACGACACGTCTGATCTTAGGCATACAAGATTCTGTTACTCACTGTGCCCATCGTTACAGTTGCGTTCATCGGAGTTGTCGTTACAGTCGTCGACGCCGTTACATACCAGCTTGTCAGCTATACAGTCATGGTTCATACACTGGAACTGCTTCTTCCCACACTCCTTACTGTTGGCTGTAAATAAGACAGATCCTCAAATATAGACCAAGGATTCTCCTCCTGTTCACTATAATAATTTCAATTTGCACCAAAAAACATGCAAGTAAGATATTATATTTTATATAATTACAAAAATATGGACCAATGAAAAGTTTTAAAAGAAAAGCTCCATTACCACAGCCCCGCTCATCACTGTTGTCTGGACAGTCATAGTTTCCGTCACAGTGGAATCTTTTCTGTATACACAACCCTGTGTCACAGCGAAACTCATCTGTCTCACACACTGTGGCTGAAAGGAGAAACAGACTTTATATAAAATCAAGTGACAGTGATATGTATTCCTTGTGTTCAAAGGTACCTGTAGCTTTTCCATTGGGAAAATATTTCATTGTCTCTTATGATGCATCCATGATCATGACACTTTGACTTATATTTTTTATCTAGATCATTTTTTTTTTAAATTTCCAGTAAAATTGTAAATATATGTAAAAAGTCATTCAACACAGTTAGTTTTCCTGTCCACATTTAGATGGAGGGGAATGTTTAAATTTTTTTTTTTTTAAATTTCTATAAACATTTTCTCAAGAATGGGTAAAGTTGCAATTTCCGATTTCAGGGTCAGATTGAGCCCAATTCCCAATATTATTTTTATGGATTATATTCCTAATTTTATTATAAAGAAAACAAATTCAAGTGTAAAACATAATTTTCTTCCTTGTTTTTCCTAGAAAGATTCATTTTAACAAATGGAAAATTTTCCTTTTTTTGAAATCCTACATTTTAAAGAACAAACACAAAATTTGAAAAAAATATTTTTCTGAAATGTCAATTTTCCAAAATAAATGAAGGTAGAAACTCCAACACCCAAGAAATCCTGTGTATACCGGTACATACAAAGGCTACAGTTATCCTCGTCTGAGCGATCATCACAGTCTATATCGCCATCACATCGCCATTCTTGGTTAATACACATCGTGTCGTTACAGCGGAACTCTCCATCTTTACACTCAGAAAACAGGGCTGAAACAAAACAATTTTACAATCAACTACCTCATTTATCTGGTTTCAAACAGAAACGACTATCAGGATAGAGTTAAGGTTGTATGCCACATTACACAATGTCATTTTATGTGACATATCATGGTAGGAGTTATCTCCCTTAAAAACGTTTATTTACCATAGTTTTAATTGGGACTGAGTAATTGATATCTTTTATATATTTTAAATGTGTCTTCAGTTTATTTACCACATACCAACTACCATTCTGTAGCGGAACTCTTTAGGAAATGTGAAGGAGATGGAAGGTGAGGTGAAGAAGCGTAAATCTTAATCACAATAGCATTAAAATAGTTTTGAGCTTGATGCCTTTTTAAGCCATATTATGAGTTTCTGATCTAGTAATTTGGTCCTTGTTTGACCGATTGCCATCAACGTGTAGGGAGTACATTCTGTTTCCAGATTCAGGGGACAAGACTTTGCATGGAACAACTGCTAAAAGAGGACACATGATTCAGACTATTTGTGCTTTAAACATGTCAATTTGAATTGTCGATGTTGACGGTTGATCAAATCCATCACATTTGCAAAATGAGTTTTCAGTCTCACAGGGAATAGAGCCAAAATTTGGTAAAAAATTGTGTAAAATATTACACAAAGAATGTATTAAATAATCTTCAAATTGAAACATACACTAACATACACCTTTATCATTGTGTCTATAGCTAGCATCTATAATTAACTGTTTTGTAAAATGTATCAATCATATTATCCTAATTCACATTAGTGAATTTCTATTATAAAATTTTAGAACTTTAAAGAAGAACATTTTTTTAGACAAAAACAACCTCTGTGTGTAGTTAGATTGATTAGACAAGAGTACTTACTCAAAAAGTCAATAACATATGGCCTGCTATTCAGATGCATGGTTTTCTTTATTCCAATATTCCATTATTGATTTTTAAACTAAGACTATGATTTCAGAAATGACAGTCACATCTATCAAATGCTTTAAATTTGTAAAATTCAATTTATTTAAATAGGGCAATTAAATGACAGAACAGTTTCAATCACAAAAGAAAAAGGAATAGTTTTCTATCAAAAATGTCCTACCACCAGGAGACTTCTGGCAGAAGCAATATATTGCTGCTCGCTGGTTTCCCGTTAATAGGACATTACTATTGTACATCCCAGTATTGGAATTGAGATATATGGCTCTTGGTAATGTGATTACAAACCTTTTAAGAAATTCTATAACATGGAATGAAATAATATTGACACATGAATAAACGAAAATCACAAAACTGGTGCAAAAATTGTTATCACACTTTTTGTGCACATGAGTAATATCTACTACCTACATGTAGGAGGTAGCCTACATATAGCAGTATAAGTGTACCAATTATCCTTCGCAGGGTTAAGGATATATGTAACCTTACTGGGACATATATCTACATATATCTCCATTCAAAGAGTTCCAAATTCAGAAAACTGTAAAATGTACTTTTTATTAATGTTAAAATGAATTCGGTCACTTATTGATAATTGAATAAGCTTTTAAATGTACTCAAGACAGAATATGTTACCCAGATAACACCTTGGTAACTCTAAAGTTTATAAAACCACATACATCATATATGTACCCCACAACATGTTGGGCATTAGAAGGATTGAAAACAGTATTACTCTATAAATCTAGAGCTAGCACTTACCACAAGCCAGCAATATAATCTTTGTGACCCTGACCTTTAAACTTACCACAAGCCAGCATTATGATCTTTGTCACCCTGACCTTTGTACTTAAAACAAGCCAGCATTATGATCCTTGTGACCCTGACCTTTACACGAACCACGAGCCAGCATTATGATCTTTGTGACCCTGACCTTTGTACTTACCACAAGCCAACATTAAGATATTTGTGACTCTGACCTTTGTACTTACCTCAAGCCAGCATTATAATCTTTGTGACCCTGACCTTTACACTTACCACAAGCCAGCATTATAATCTTTATGACCCTGACCTTTATTCTTACTACAAGCCAGCATTATAATCTGTGTGACCCTGACCTTTACACGTACCACAAGCCAGCAATATAATCTGTGTGACTCGGACCTTTACACTTACCACAAGCCAGCATTATAATCTTTATTATCTTGACCTATACACTTACCACAAGCCAACTTACCACAGTCAGCCTCGTCCTCCCAGTTTCCGCAGTCATTGTTTAGGTCACATTTTTTCCGTTTTGGGATACAGGTAAAGGAATGTAGACACTTGAACTCGTCCTTCCCACAGAACAACTTCTCTCTATCTGTACAACATTCCCACCAAAACTCTAAATCAATTCATTTCATATTGCAATGCAATTTACAGATAATAACTCACAGTAGAACAGGCCAAGTTTTCTTTATAAGAACCATATTTTTTTGGAAGAGATCTTTTTGAGAGATTACGGCAAATATCAATTAATATGTTCTATTATTTCAAATTAATTATTCATTTGATCTTAATTATCCATCAAATCTTTGATTTCTTTTCAATTCAAATTTGAAATTTAAATAAGCAGTCAATTTTTTTGTTAAGAAACACTGAAACAAAAATAGACATCAATAATTTTACACATCAACTTACTGCACTTTTTCTCATCGGCTCCGTCAGTGCAGTCAGGGTCTTTATCACAGCGCCATGACTGAGGAATACAGGAGCCATCACCACAGGCAAACTGTTTGCTACTACACATCATAACCTCTGACACTGAAAATAGACAGGGTCATGTGACATAACCTCTGACACTGAAAATAGACTGCAGGGTCATGTGACATAACCTCTGACACTGAAAAAAACCAGGGTCATGTGACATAACCTCTGACACTGAAAATAGACAGGGTCATGTGACATAACCTCTAACACTGAAAATAGACTGCAGTGTCATGTGACATAACCTCTGACACTGAAAAAAACCAGGGTCAGGTGACATAACCTCTGACACTGAAAATAGACAGGGTCATGTGACATAACCTCTGACACTGAAAACAGACAGGGTCATGTGACATAACCTCTGACACTGAAAAAAGACAGGGTCATGTGACATAACCTCTGACACTGAAAATAGACAGGGTCAAGTGACATAACCTCTGACACTGTAAATAGACAAGGTCAAGTGATATAACCTCTGACACTGTAAATAGACAAGGTCAAGTGACGCAACCTCTGACACTGAAAGTAGACAAGGTCAAGTGCCATAACCTCTGAAACTGGAAATAGACAGGGTCAAGTGAGATAACCTCTGACACTGAAAATAGACAAGGTCAAGTGACATTACCACTGACACTGAAAATAGACAGGGTCAAGTGACATTACCTCTGACACTGAAAAAAGACAAGGTCAAGTGACATTAAACTCTGACACTGTAAATAGTCAGGATCAAGTGACATAACCTCTGACACTGGAAACAGACAAGGTCAAGTGACATACCCTCTGACACTGGAAACAGACAAGGTCAAGTGACATAACCTCTGACACTGTAAATAGACAAGGTCAAGTGACGTAACCTCTGACACTGAAAATAGACAGGGTCAAGTGACATAACCTCTGGCACTGAAAATAGACAGGGTCATGTGACATAACCTCTGACACTGAAAATAGACAGGGTCAAGTGACATAACCTCTGACACTGGAAACAGACAAGGTCAAGTAAAATAACCTTTGACACCGAAAATAGACAAGGTCAAGTGACATAAGTTCTGTATTGTAAAATGTTCACGGTAAGGTGACATAAATTCTGTCTCCAAAAACAGACAAGTTCACATATTATTTTCTCTTAAATTTGACATGTGTATGCACACTTTCCCCCCCCTGTGTCGAGATATCCTTGTCTCACTCTAGGATTGAGACAGAAGGGAGTTCCCATCAAAATAATTGTATGACATCACTTCAACAATATACTGACATCGCATAAACAATGCATTAATGTTACTTTAATAAGGTAGTGACTCTACAACATGAACTTTGAATTTATGTATATGATAAGGTCAACAGGGTAAGAGAAAAAGAATCATTCACCTGATTGAGGTCAGATGGGGAATTGGGGAAAGATTCTTAAGATGCTAAATACTCGGCAAGCGTTTGGCAACATAAGAGTCATCCCCCTTGAGATTCCCCTTCTCATCCCCAAAGGAGCAAACTATTGTATTTATGTTTGTCACTGGACACAGTCACAGAAAACCAATAAAACATGCCTCAAGCCATATTTTGTTAGGTGCCATGAGTGCTCAAAAGAGCAGGACATATACAGTAATCTTATCTTCACAGACATGAAAGCAAGTTGTATGGGAGATAATTCACAGAAAGTAAAATTTGTATGGGAGCTGAATAACAGACAGAATGTAAAATAAAATAAAATAAAAATTGCTGTTTTTGCATCCATTCTGGTAGCCATGTAAAATGTTTTGTGAAAAAGAAAGTGAACAGATTGTTCTGTGTTATCGTTGGCAGCAGAAATAAGCAAAACATGTTCACACGTGTCTGTCTAGTTTCCTCCAGACAGTCAACACATAATTCTGATGGAGCCTAAAAAAGTCTGCTTCAGTTTCCAAGATTAAACAACATCAACAGTGCAAGTAATCAAATGTGTAAAACATTAAGATTTATATTATCGTGGAAAAGATTTATATGTACCCTGACAGAAACTGTTGTGACCTAGCTTCCTTCAATTGACTTGGTGCATAAAGGTAACTGTAGACTTCAGCTGAACAATCTGTATCCTTGTTTTATACATTTATACTAAATCTGTTATTATGTCCTTCATTAAAATTCTACTACTACTAGCAGAAATACTAAAAGTTGATGTTTATCATGCAGTAAGACATGTTCTATCATAATGGCATGCAATCAGGGAATCAGCAGAAAGGAATTCATACAGTACTCGAGCAGGTTCGTTCAGTGAAACAAATGTTTGAATACCTCGTATCTGTGTTTTTCTAAAAAAAATATACCAATATTATCAACATCCCAAAGATATCTCACAAACAGCTTGTTATAAAATTTTGTCCAAATATTGTTGAGATTTTCATTTAGATGTTATTTTTTTTTCTTTTCAGAAATGACTTTCCAGGGCTAAATCGGAATGACAGGAAAAAATAATAACTTCGACTTTCAGAATTCGATAATACTGCCACAACTCTTGAATTTCTTTTGAAAATTGTGTGAAATTTGATAGAAATCCATAAACGCACTATAATATGTGTGTGATGTTGCCCGACGGTAAAGTGAAATCTGCCATAGCAGTTCTCCAAACTGATGGAACAAAGCTTACAATTACTACACCAGTCAGTAAGCTACAGGGAGGATACACTGAAATTAAAACTCAGCAGAACCTTATCAAAACATCAAAATCAATTACTTTCAACTTTTATTACATGCGAAGTTATGCAACTCTGGCAGATATCTGAAGCAGACTCGGGGCCTCAGGTTGTATATCAGCAACTTAAAAACTGGAATGAAATATTACTACACCGTGAGAGTTCAACTTGTACAGCTAAGGTGATAAATTGAAAACAGTCGACTTTCTCTCCGATATCTCTATGCAAGATTCACAGAAGTAAAAACTTCACAACTCAAAGTCAAAATGCAAAAACAATCAACAACAGGGATGGGTGAAACCTCAAATAAAAATTAAACCTTTTTTCTACCTACTGTTTAAAAGACCTAAGAAGGTGTAAACAATTTTGTTAATTTTTCAGCGACAGGATTACTTACAACATTTCTCATCAGAATTGTCCCCACAGTCATTGTCATGGTCACATCTCCATCCTGTCGGGATACATACACCATTGTCACAGCGAAACTCATTCTCATCACAACTGCCTGTTGACATGGCTGCAAAATAACATTTGTGATACATAACTTGAGAATTTTATCAGTCAATCACTGGAAAAGACAATTTGAAGTTGATCCTTTTCGGTCTCATCTGTATACGCTATTGTATATGATTTGTAGGCATTCACATACTAAATATGTCTTATATTTAAGGGGTTTTTGTAACCTGATTGTAATATGTATTTCCTTTCGGAAAGAGTTCAGATTTCTACAAAAAGAAACTGGCATCATTTTGTTTTTTAAGAATGCCGTTGGAAATTCATTAATTAATTGATAACATACTTGAAAGGTACACTGTAATTTGTACCTGTATGTATTGATAATGCTCAGGTCAAACATATTGGATCATATTAATTACAGTGGTTTTACTAGGGAAGGTAACTCTCTTACAAATCACCAATACAATGTGTAAATTGTAACATACCAGTTATATATCTCTAAGTCTCTCTCTTCTATATTATTCTTAAGTGGTACTTCATTCATGATTGTATTAATGAAAAAAACTAAACCATCATGCATTTTCTGAATAAAGACAATGAAAAACTAAAATAGAACTTACTACACTTGAGTTCGTCACTGTTGTCCCCACAATCGTTGTCCCCATCACATATCCAGTCGTTACTCACACACCTGTCATTGTCACACGGGGAGTGATTGGCTGGACAGGTGGGCGTCGTCCCTGTCACTGTAAAATTCAAATAATAGTGTGTTTTTTATATAATTACTGCATTTATTCATTCTTACTTGAAATACGATTTGACACCCTTTGAGCGGAATTGTCTCAATTAGCTTATTGCCTGCTGAGTTTCTATACCTAGCCACCAAGTAATATTACGAACAGTTCAATTCTAATTCAAGTTATTGAAGTGATTTATTTCAAAATTAGGTGCACAATTAATTTCATCAAAGTTAATTGTTTAGCTTTAGAATAGTCTTTGAATCCTGTAATGTTTCCATTCTGAATGTCTAAATTAATAAAGTCAATGAAAACCTCATCCACTAACATGTGATTTATGAAATTGTCACAAAAATCTGTAAAATTTGTGACGATAACAACAACAACAAACGTATGTTATTATTTGACTTTCTTCTTCCAATTTAGCAATGTTAACTGAAACATGACTTATTTATATTAAATTTGGTATTGCAAGATATCATTTATAACATCACACCAAATTAAACATAATCAAATGAACACATGCACCGAAAAACACAAAATATAGCCGACATGTCAGCCAGATAACCCTCGGCTGCTGTTAACAACATGAAGCCAATGGAATGTATATACAATGCAACAATGTATCTTTTGTATGAATACAGAAATGATCATGAGACTGGGGTAACTCCCATGCATTGCTGATTATTTGTCAATACGTTGAGAAGACCAAAATGATTTATCGAATAAAGCACTTGAATTTCAAGAATATTGACTTGATGAATACTTCAGGCCTTGATATATAATTAACACCAATTCGGGTAATATAGAGATGCCCTCAGAGAAAGAAATAATTGTGTTTCCCTACAGTATAAGGGCAATAGATATTTTAGCATGCCAAAAATAAAACAAGTGTGCCGCGGCGCCGAACAATATAGGCCCGTCGAATGTCATTCTTTCTTTCATTGAAATAAGATCTGCATCATTCTAAGAGTGGCTAGCTCAACTTATAGCTGACATGCTACAAAAATCGTCGAATCAAAATTCTTTTAAGGGAGACACAACTTCATATTATGATTATGATGTACACCAAGTTTCAAAGAGATCCGTTGAAAAATGTAGGAGGAGATTGCCGGACAAAAATCAAATACTGAAATAAACAAAGGGCAATAACATTTGGAAAAATTGTCAAATCAAAATTCTTTAAGGGGGGAGGTGATTGCCGGACAAACAAAAATTTAGGCCAGCCGGCCGGACAACCCCATACCATAATACTCCCCTTGGTGTTTGAACTAACACAACACTTTCACCTTCAGGTAATATCACATTTGGTTGGGTTTCCTTGTATAATCTCTCATTCATAAAAATATAACATAACGTAAATATCTACAATAACTGTCAATTATAGCCAACATCTGCTCAACTTCAAAAATAATATTTCATCCTCCTCCTCTCCGATATCAAAATATATGTTTAAGTTTAGAAACTTTGTTTTAGAGTCTACCATCAACAAATTGCAGCAAGTTGCAGCTCCTTATCAGCACACCTATCAGTATCCAACACATGAACGCATGTCTCACAAACTGATAAAAAGATTTTTTTGGTTGAGAAAGCTAAGATACTTTGCCAAAATGATGCTAAAACATTTGAATTCTGATTGGAATTTCATTCGGTTAAACAGCTGTGGAGAAGTTTGTGTGGGTTGATGATGTTTATATTTTTTGGTTCGGACAGATAACTTGATGTTTTTATAACTTTAAGGCAATCAGTAGATATTTGTAGGAGTATAGTTCTACAAGCCTTTAATAAAAATTTGGTACGTTGTAAAGGAAAGGTTGACATGGGCACGTATTTGATAAGAGCAGTAGGATAGTGTTTTATGTTATTTATCAGTGGTAACTGACACGCATATACTGGCCTATAGATGTACAGGAACACACACACTTCAGAAGTCTAATCCTGTAACCTTGAGTATATGGTACATCTATACTGCCCTGTGTACAGCAGTATGCCTTCAGTATATGGTACATCTATACTGCCCTGTTTACAGCAGTATGCCTTCAGTATATGGTACATCTATACTGCCCTGTGTACAGCAGTATGCCTTCAGTATATGGTACATCTATACTGCCCTGTACATGTGTACAGCATTATGCCTTCAGTATATGGTACATCTGTACTGCCCTGTGTACATCAGTATGCCTTCAGTATATGGTACATCTATACTGCCCTGTGTACAGCAGTATGCCTTCAGTATATGGTACATCTATACTGCCCTGGTATATATAGCAGTATACATTCAGTACAACCAGTATATAATAATTGAACAGACATACAGTATATATACTGTATGTCTGTTCAATTATTGGATGTATAGTCATAAAGATTCAAGGGTTATCTCCCTTGTTAAGTTTGGTTTAGAAATAACACTTTATTGACATCAAGCACAAACTACTGCCAGAAATGTCACTTTAATTTTTGAAATTCATAATTGCTAAGATTCCTAATGAGCTAGATTAATATCAATTCCAAGTTGAAGTTTGAAATAAAAACTTCTTTACCTCCACTGTCTTTCTCATAAACATCACTTTTTAGTGAGTTACTTCCCTTCATATTGAATTGCTTTATCGCCCTAGCAGTAAATGAAATTGCTGTGTACTTCTAAAATACAGACTGATTTCCTTCAAATTCAAACTTACTACCTTATAACATGTATGCTGAATGGGTTTAATTACAATCGGGTCAAAGTTTATCACAACATTGTATGGACATAATCAACAAATGAGTGTATAGTATACTTATTGTTTATCTGGTCCCCACAGATTTCCCTCAAATTTAGAATCAGTCTTAGTCTTTGTACATGTACAATGAAAATTGTAAATTTCATCATATCGTGCAAAAGCAAAAACTAAATGGACTTATGGATGGTTATAAGTTAAAGTATTAATGTTTTCAGGATTAAATTCTAATTCATAAAAGATTAATATATGAGGCCATACTCGAAGTACATGTAATGTATGGATGGGTAGACAAGAACATTACTTTAGGGTCCTTCATCCTCTGAAAGTGTCGTCCCTTATTGATGCCACAAACTCTGAAGATAACAGGACCCTTCAAGTCCAGTTAAAAACTATTCCAAAATATAACTGTTTTTAAAAATGCTATGTAAGTAGAATATGCTTTTTAGAATTATTGAACCAAATTAACGTTCCTGGGTGATAAAATATTTTACTCTACTGAATATAGACCTATCATGTATTCATTACAGGTAATGAAATAGGATAAGACTCAGATATAGTACAGGAAGGTAAAATTCCCTGACAATGATAATCAACATGCTGATGCTAAGTGCTGGAACAATGTTTGATCACTGTAGCTGTTCCGCTCACGAAGCCTTACACAGCCTGAGAAGAGGCATGCATGTGATGACAGTTCCAGACTTCTACCTACACTATAACACCTTGTCTGTCGAGTGTTAGCGGCCTTCATGCTCCCACAATACAGCATTTAACTGCATTTACAAAGGATAAAAAAAAATCAACGTCAGGGGTAAAACGTGAGGGGTTGTTTAACAGTACATGGTTCAGAGGGAATGTTAACTACTTAATATTTCGGAAACGAGAAAAACTGGAAATGTTTGGAAAGACCGAAATAATAGGTAAAACATGATGGGAAACAATAAAAGGTTATAACCCCTTGAGATTACATACTGAGATAACAACATGTTTTCCACAGACACCCTCGACTCAAAAAACTTTTAGTGTTGGTCGCTATCTGATGTGAAACCCCCCTGACATTTCCACCAGTGTAACTTTTCACTCCATCTGAGAAGTGATTTTGGCTGTTCATTATCAGGGAGTATTCGTCAACAGGGTATTCGTTGTCTAAGATGCCTATCTGAAGAAGCCGATTGCTAGCAGCCAAATAAATACCCTAGTAATACCTTTTTTCATCTCCTTTACGACTCTGTGTAATTAGTGTTAATGGGTGTTTTCCATCTCCCCTGCTACAGGGGGAAGGAAGCCCGTAGTACTATAGCCTTCAATTTGAGTAGAGCAACTGCCACTTCAAGACTACACAGCTTCTAGCCAGGATTAATCAGGGACCGAAATTTGGGGTACCGGTCCTGATCAAAGGGTTCCAATTTAGTTGTCCAGCCAACCAATAAAGAGGGTTTATAAAGAGGTGGGAGGTCATTTATTATTGTATTGATGATGGACAGGTGATGGTTTTGATGAAGGTCATACATTTATTGAACCAATTTTGGACATTTTGTGGTCTTGTTGAGGGAGGTAACTGGGGGTGGGGGGTGGGGGGTCCCAGTAAGGGAGGTCTGATTAACAACAGTATCCTTATTATAGAACAAGTGAGTGATAGGAGGATGGAATCATCCAATCCATATACTATTAAATCTTTTGGACCTTAAATCTATTCTGAGGATGATGAAAGTCATACTTTATTATATCATTGTTGGACAGAGGAGGTTTCTGATAAAAGGTCATACAACATGTATGGCAATGACAATGATGATCCATGTTGAACCTATTACATGTAAGTAAATAGACTGAGGGAGGTGTTAGTATGTAAAGGTTTGACATGTAATGTTCCAGGTAATGAAGACGATATATATCATGTGTTGAACCTACAGGGGTTCTCATTTAAATGTCAAACACTGAATATTAAACGGGATTAGATGGAATGATACTAAAATACTGGTATTTTTGCTATATAATAGGCTATCAGATTAGAATAAAATAAAAATAATTCAAAGCAAAATTATATATGATAACACAGGTTTCATATACCTATGTTTAATATTTAAACAACAGAATCATTTAAGCCAAAACTAAAAATATCAAAGAATTATTAAATGAACCTGTGAAAAGACCCTTTCCTCAGATGGGATATCAAGACACAGACATTTACACGCACAAAAGAGTTTGTAAAGGCGGATAGTTGTTGGCATTTTGATGAGAGATGGTTTTATAAAAGAGCTCCACCCTTCCCAATGGAGCAGAAAACCTGTCTAC